GGCTGTCGTATGCCCAGCGCTCCTCCCGGCGCTGGAACCCGCCTGGTCTGGGTGGCCCTCAGCGCCGGGCCCTGCCGTGCCGGAGGAGTTACCTTGGTACCTGGCTGTGCCAGCGCAGCTTACACTTTGGTCCTCGGTGGCTGAAATGCTGGCCGGCATAAAGATCACTCTTACGTGTGCTCGAAATAACAGATGCCGCTGCCGAGAGGAACTAAGCATACGTTTGTATGTAAGAAGAGCTGTATCCTGGTAAAGGAGATAGCAGAGCGTAAGGGTGGAAACAAGCGGAGCGAATGCACAATGTTCCCAGTGTTCAGCTAGCCGCCGGTCATTTCCAGCTCAGTCTCCCCTGACAGTGTGTAGTTATGTTTATGTACCAATTTCAGGGTCCAGTTTTCTCCTCATCCTATGGAAACTTTCAGCATTGGAAATGCATCCTTTGGTAAATTGCTTTACGGCTCAATGACCTATTATCTGAAGAACAGCTTCCTTTTGTTGGTTTGGACCAAGCCCCTACAAACTTAATTTTATGTCTCCCAAATTCTTGATTGGTTTTTTTTTTCGCCCTAGCAATAAAGTGTTGTGATTATGTATAAAGTAAGTTACTAGAATAGGTACATGAAAGAGGGAACCAAAACAGATTAATATGTGGCATTCAATACTTAATTGGAAATATGAGTATTTAAAAGCATGTTCAAAACTTTTGGACGTAAGAAATGTTACAGATCTATTACAAAGCTGTGTATTTTTTTCCCCAGGGAAACTTGGAAGTCATTGACAATTGCATGCAACCATTCTGTATTTTCATTCAACTGCCTATTTTAAGTCCAATCTTTCGTGGTTATGCTGTAAAAAGACAAGGTTGGGGTTTTTTTCCTTACAGTTTGACCTGTAGAGGAAAATAATTTAGTGTTTGCTAGTTAGTAGTACAAAATTGAGATAGCTTTCTTACCTGAGACAAAACTTTCTTGCTTTAAAATGTGTGCAAACGTCCGTAAGAGGAGGTGACTTCTGAATTTTGAGGTTCATATGTAAAGCAAGGTAAACTGTAGTCAGTGGTAATATTTGCCTCCTTATGCTTCATTAAACTGGAGGACCAATTTAATTGGGTTTGGAGCAATTAAGACTGTAGTTTCACATACACATCAAACTGCTATTATCCAACCCTGCTGCCAAAAGAAACAACCCACCAAAAGAAGTTACTATTTATCTGGATAAATTCCTTAGCTTGATTCACTCTGTGTGGCCTTACAAACAATTAGGCTGGCACTAGTAAGTGGTGGGAGATAAGTGGACTGGCTGGTTTACACTGGTAAAGCTCTGTTTCTGCTAAAAATTTATGTGAAAGCACAGCTTTATTCTCCAAGACTGCTTAGCCCATATCCTGTTACGCTGCAGTTGCCAGCAAAATAATAGCTATCAAACACTTACAGTATCCCTTGTCTTAAAGTTCTCAAAGCACTTTAGAAAGAAATACAGTTCTCTTGGTTTTGAGCACAAGCTGATTTTTTTTTTCCCTAGGTGGTGGACTCTAGGTCAGAGGAAATTTTGCTAAAATACATAGGTGCAAAACAACTGTTTTCTCCTGAATTCCAGGCCTTTGGGACTTGTTAAAAGGAGTAACTCATGTACGGACATTTCTTTCTTCTCTCATTGGTATTTCTGTGATGCAAGATCAATACCAATGGTTTTATCTAGATTACCCTGCCAATGGTGAACTAGTCATTACTCCTGATTTTGACTGAATTTGAACAAGTAATCTAGATTACTAAGCCTCTAAGATACTTACCGTCCTTGTCCTATGTTTTGGGATGAGTTTATGCTAGAGGTTTCAGTTTTCTGGAGGTGGTGATTGTCTCAAGTGTTATTAGCATATATCCTTGCACTTGGGTATCCAGTGCCTGTGTTTTTTGAAGCAGGTCTCCTAGAAAGAAAAGGAACATCCATAGCAAAACTAAATTCTAGTAAAATGGTCTAATTATAGTTACCCCCTTTTCTTTGGAAAAAGTGTTTTTGTCAAAGTATTTTGAGTGTGGTTTTAAATATGGCATGTTTTGAAAATTATTTTGAAAATGGCCAAAATTAAATAGCATTTTAATTGCTCTCATGATATGCTTCTGCTGAATCTAGATTTTGTAGTACTTTGCGCAAAACTTCACTGTTTATTATGAAAATTTACTTACATGTCTGATGATCTTTTTCTTATTCAGTGAGTGCTAAAGAATTGTATGCTACCAGACTGCAGGAGAAAGCTTTAGTGTAACTACCAAATCACATTTATTTCAGGTTTCAAACCTATCACAGGGCAGAGAAAGCTTGTGGGTGCAGTTATAACACCTAAGATTTAGGTAGTTCCATTACAGAAATGAAATTATTTCTTCAGTGGTCCTCCAAGGAGAATGAGATTAAGTGGGTGTCTCTTGTGTTTCTTTTTGCAGTCCTTATTTATGTATTACTTCAAGCTTTCAGGTTTCATTCATGTATGGGTAGCATGTGTATTTAATTCACAAAATTTGCATGTGTATTAGAGGGTTCTTTTTCCTGTTAGCTTCTTGTTGTATTCTTCCTCAGTCACTGAATCATTAATTGTTTTTTGACAATGCAAATACTGTAGAAGTAAAACCTGGATGAAGAAAGAGTGACTTTTATGTAGACTGTGTAAAACTTAGCCACCTTTTTAATTCATGTCTAATATGAGAAACACTTATCCACACACTACTTCTTTAAGAGACAAAAGATGCTTGCAGACATCTGAATCCTCAAAAATAATTCTTCAGAAAACTAGGAATACAGATTTTTAACACTCTGAGAAACAGAAACAAGAAAATAAGAACATTTCAGTACTGCTACTGTTAGACATTGCATTATAGTAAAGGAACAGTGTGAATTGAGCTTTACCATTCTTCTAGTTGCCTGTGAAGAAAAGACAGCGCTAAAACATGTAATTTTTGTATCTTGTGCTATCTTAGTAACTGATCTTCCTCTGTGGAGCAGTAGAGACTGCAAAAGTTTTATTTCATGATATTCTAAAGAGGCAAATGCTCTGTAACTTCTTAAGTGTTTCACCTTAGTTGCTCTGTCCTTTGCCAGTTACAGTAGTTACAGTACTAACTAGTGCACAGCACGAATGCAGAGATTTGAGTTCTCTGCAGACACAGGGTTCTTTCTCTGATGAGTCTGCGCCTTCAAAATGGAAACATTATTTATTTGTTTCTGGCAGAAAGTTCTGTTTCCCTTACCAAATGTCACAGCTATGCTCTCGGTGAATTTCATGCTTGAGTTGTTAAACAATTTTACAGTAAAAAAGTTCGATTAAATTTTCTTTGTCTTCTTTTTCCCCCTGCTCTCATCTTCCCTTATGTAAAATAAATTTTAAAATTACTTAACTATTGATGGAGACTGGTTCAAGGAGCCTCAAGCTAAGAGACTGCGGCAGCCTTAGCAAACTGAACGCTTAAACTGGTTCAAATGGCAGGTGTTACAAGAAATCATAAAGTTGTATGCAGTGAGCTAGGCAAGTGTTTACTTTTTACATATATGACTACTAAAGAATGGATAAAATAATGGTAATTATATGCTCTTACTGGTGTACTTTGTACTTCTCACTTCCGCCTATTTGTGGAGCTTGATATCAGAATTATTGAACAGCTAGGGTGTTTGGTCCATATCCTAGCTAACCGGACAGTAGAGTTGGCACCTTCAGCTATAAAAGTGTTGATGGAGAGAACGTGGGCGATGAACGGAGACAGCACCCAGCAGAGAGGGAAGGCAAAGAAGCAGTGATGGGTTAGCACACGCACCAGTTCACATCTGCTCTTGAAAGCTTTGTCCGCCACACTGAGTTCCTCTTTACTGCGTCCACATCCTTTGCAATTCAGGACAGTTTGGACTTGAGGCACCTAAACCATTTTTTTTTGTTAACAGACTGTTAGAAGCCCAGCACAGTTTGTGATTTAGGTTGAGTAAAGGCTGCTGGAAGAAGTTGCTTAGCACGCTTTTAATAACTGCGAAGGTAGTGCTGCATGTGAGCGTTTCACTGCCACCAGTGCTACATTGTGAACTTTTTCACTGCTGTATGTGTAACAGGATTTTTTTGTTTTGTTTTGTTACCAGGATAGCAGTTTTGGGTTGTGACAAACTCCAGCACTACAGGAACCATGGTTTCCCAGTGAAGCGCCACTGCTTTCACAGGTTCTGAAACTACCAGCCAGTCTTCCTTGAATTTTGGTGTGTGCGAGTCCTTGGTGGAGGTTGCATATATACATGTTTTCATGAAGAGAAGTGAGAAGCCAGAAGGTTATAGACAAATGAGGCCTAAGACTTTTCCTGCCAGTAACTATACTGGCAGCAGCCAGCAGATGCTACAGGAAATACGAGAGAGCCTCAGGAATTTACCTAAACCCTCAGATGCTGCTAAAGCTGATCACAGCATGGGCAAAATGTTATCTGAAGATCCTAGACAAGGCCGAAATCCCCCCAAATTTGTAACATATCATAAGGTTTTGCAGGAGATAAGAAACTCACTTCTGCCTTTTGCAAACGAAACAACCTCAGCTGTCAAAGGAACATCAGAAGTTAATCGACAAATGCTGCAAGACTTACAGGCTGCTGGCTTTGATGAGGTGAAATATTTTATTTTCAAGATTTGGTGTTCTGCTAACTATAAACTATTAATACATGTTGGAGGGGCTGTTCATCATGGAATGTTTGAACTGCATATGATAAGTAAAATGGCTTCTGCAAAATCTGGTAGGTTTCTAATTAGGATGTAGTGAAACTGGTAATAATGGGGGATGAAGAGGAGGAATAGAAGGATTTACAAAGGCTTGGCTTTTTTTTTTTTAAGCATCTTGTGCAGTTTGTTCTTATGTGGTAGGGGTAGGTTGTTTTAATTATTTATATCATTTTAAACAGAGAGAACTGGACTCTCTAGAACATGGATTTTGCCTCTGATACTCAATGGAATTCTGGATTGTGCTCAATTAAAATATCTTGCTAAAATATGGCCTTTCTAAATTGAAAGACAGTACCAAATATTTCAGAAATTAATTTTAATGAGCTTTTTACATCTGTGGCTTATAGAAACTCAGACTTTGTGGAGAAAGAAATTTGTCTGTCCTTACTTTATGCACTTTGTCAGATACAGATAAAATAACAAGGTACATGCCAAAACCAGTTGCAGAGTGTCTTCTCTGTGGTATACTCTCAAGACAAAAATGTCAAGTCTTGAAAACCTTGGACATAAGTAATTATTCTGCTATTATTTTCATTATAAGAACAGGGAACTAAATAATTGTTCAGTTTATTTTTTAAATTATTGACTAAACTTATTTCCATTGATTCATTTTAATAAATGAAAGGAGTTTGAAAAGTGGTTTCCAGAAATAAAAAATTAATACGCTTATAGCTCCTGTGTTTTTACTGGGATTTGCACATCAAAGTAAATTGCACCTGTTTTCATGCATTCTCTGTAAGCCTGAGTACAAAAGCAGGTTTAAACCTAGCTAGCAAACCACTCGTCCTTCCAAAGGTAAAAGGCACAGTACCACAACAGGGATTGCTTTCACAGGAGTGCACTGCTTGTAGTAGTGACCAGCTCACGAGTTCTGCTGGCTGTGATGTTTCGGTGTTTACAGGGATCTACTTCTGCCAAGAGTAAGCTTCTCCAAAACTATCAGCTGGCTTTTCCTCAACAATGTCCCATTGTCAGGTGCTGATAGTGGTTTTGCATGTTCCTTTTGCTGGTTCCAATACACAGTCCAGGCTGTGTTTTCAGTAAGAATGGAAGGATTTTATAATGATAAATGATTTTGCAATAATTTGTTCCTGCTCTGTGGTTTGTTGGGTTTTTGTTTGTTTGTTTTTAAAAGTAGATCAGTTCTCAGATCTATTTTTACAGATTGAACCTGCAGTCATTTTTGCAAACCGAAGAATGGTATGTGGCTGGATAATAAACTAGAAAGGTATCTTAAGTTGGTATTTTTGTTGGATCCTTTTGTATCTAGAAGCCTTTTGCTCCTACCCTTTGTTCGTGGATGCAACTGAGAATTCCCAGGACGCTTATGGTTATATGGACCTTTTTTCAGGCACAGTGCCAGCGTAAGCCGTTTCTGCCATGTGTTAACCCACAGTTGTGTTGCCACAATAGGCCATATGGCTTTGGCCCGGGAACACCACCGGGAACAGATACAGCTGAAGTAGGAAAGCATTTTTTTTGGTGGGGGCTATTCAAGACAGCAAGTAGGAATGAAATGAGAATGTATTTTGAGCTGGGATTGTTTTATCGACTGGATCATAGCTGGGGTGTGTTGGCCAGCTGTAAGTGGCTGATCTTTTACCTTTTTTTTTTTTTTCTTTTAATATATTGAATGTCACAAATGTTCGGGTTATTCTCCCCACCCCTCAAGTAGTAGGTAGTATTCAGGGTTAAAACTGAACAGATAGATATCTGTTGGTATCAGGTATACATATATATAGTGTGTATATAGGTAGTAATATATATATGTGTATAGTAATTATGTGAGAAGGCAGTTCTTTGTGTGTGGTGGTTTGGTGGGGTTTTTTTTTGCCAACCACCCAAAATAGCTTACAGGAAACCTGTCTTGCTTCTTGGGATACAGGTTCAGTCCTCGTAAGTTCTGAAGTACTGTGTAAGGTGATACTCTTAAAGACATTGAATACTTCATGTCACATAGGTGACCAAGGTTTTTCTTCTTCGGCTAGAGGGGAGAGAGATCCTTTGGCTCTTACTCGGGTCCTCTGGTTAGTGGAGAGGGAACTAAATTTAATCTCTTAAAAATATTGCTGGTTCTGTACTTTGAGATTCTGTGTGTCTTTATGGCTTGGTGATGTGAACTTGTACGTTTAGGTTTATATATTGTAGAATTACTTGGCTAAAAGACAGTAAATTTGGTTTTGAAACTGATTAAGAAGAAAATTGAAGTCGGTAGGTACAAATGAATGATGGGTCCCATAAAAGTATATTCCAGTTGTAAATTAAATAATCTGGACAACTTAACCTTCTGTTTGCACAGTGATCAAACAGCATACTGGTGCTGAAAATGTGCTAATTCGCAACAGATCAGTCTTGCCTATAACAGTAGAAGTGTTGCAGACGTAACTGTCTCATGAAGGAGTTACGAGGTCAAAAGTTGTATCTGCTTTTTCCAGCAATGTCAGCTGGTCTGTAAACATTGCAACAACCTTACTGTATGTATTTTTTTATTTTAAAATCCTTTTTTAAGGTTCTGCTTTGTTTGCTGAATTTAATTACCGTTTCTGAAGGCTGTATGTAATTTTGTATGTTTGTAGTGTTAAAAATGTACACAGGCATGGTGAAAGTATAAATGTGGGTTTGAATTGAAATCGATATTGACTTCTTCCCTCCTGAGCTGTCTTTTGATTTCCCATTGATTTTAGTAGAAGGTGAATGCTGTCGTATGTAGGTAACCTGTTCAAACATAATGTGAACTGAAATGATTGCTTCGATACGACAAAGTGTGGCCGTAACAAATCACTAAAGACAGTGTGCTTAATTATAGGGAGTTATGCTGTGGATTTGTTTCAGACTTTTTGAGTCAGCTGCACAAATCCCGTGCAATATAACTGGGTGAGCAGTGCCTGACTTTTAACTATTTCTGAAATTCTGCCTCTGTTGCTTGACCTTGATGTCATTCAAGTCAGTGGAAAAACCTCTGGTCCATAATACATTTTTCCATTGACAGTGCTGGGATTAGCCATCAGATCAAAACTTGTGTTTGGATGTCTAAGAACACAGAGCCTAAATTTACCACAAAATAATAGAATTTCTGACAATACTGTTGTCTTCATCAGGAAGAATTCTTAGGGAGAAACTAATGGGTATTTGTTGACAAAAAGTCATGCTGAGGTGAATGAAAATGAGCAAACCCTGAAGTTCTGAGTTTCATATTAGGGTATCTTTCATAGAATAACGTGGGTTGGAAGGGACCTCTGGTCATCATGTAAGTAGCTGTTACCTGGGTAGTGCGTACCAGTGCGTATGAGCAAACTGTACAAATAGCAAAGTGACACGATTTACATCAAACTATAGTGCTTCAACAAGTTAACATTTTTTCCCTGAAAATCCAGACTGTATTAGTGTTTTGGAGGATCTGTTGTGGAGAAAACACTTTAAAATTAGTTTTAAAACAATTGAGCGAAATCAGTTATGTACTTTGGTAAAATTACTGGAGGATATTTGGCTGCATAACTGTGATTTTTCTGTATTTTTGACATTTTCTTGTAATTTATTTTTTGTATATAACTTTCTCTTTAGGATATGGTTATACAAGCTCTTAGACAAACTAACAACCGTAGTATAGAAGCTGCCATCGAATTTATAAGTAAAATGAGCTACCAGGATCCTCGTCGGGAACAGATGGTTGCAGCAGCAGCGAGACCTGTAAACGCAGGTATGAAACCACCAGGTAGGTGTATCCATGGTAACTCAGTAATTCACTGACTGTATTCTTGTAGGTGAAAAATATAAAATAGCAAATTCCTACTTCATGTACTCACAATGGAATAGACGAGATGTTGAGATACAGTTTTTTGCTTTTAAAAATAGCATGTGAAGTATATAATGTAATTCTTCTGAAAGATAGGTGCATTTGACGTGACTTTCTTAAACGTTTCTTTTTATAACTGCATGGGTTTAGTATTGTCTGTAAGTATTTTATACAAGGAATGGCATTCATATCTCATTTTAGTAATTTTTGTCCCTCGGTGTGATGCCTGTATCTTGTTCTCAGTGTCAGGTGCCATTTAGAAGTCAGTGGTGAGCACTGAATTCTGATTTTAATTTCTTTGTCTCTTTTCACACATTGTCCCACACAGCAGCACTATGTATGTGTACTTTTGTGTATATGTATTATTTGTGTGTGTATATATTTCTGTATCATATGGCTACAATACTTGTATTTAGGATGTTCTGTTTCAAGATCCGCCTTGCTACTTAATTTTCTGCTTGGTTCCAGATCTTGTTTGTATGGTTTTTAAGGCAGACTTCATGCTTTTATAGAAGTTAGGGGACAGACTACAGCTTTAGTAGCAACAGAGTCGGAATTTTGCTACTTTCTGTTATTGCTGTCTTAACGCATGCAAACACATTTTTAGCACATCTTGATGTTTTTCTTTTTTTGCCAGGTTTTAGTAGCATACACCTAAACAAACGGTAACTTTCAAATGCAGCAGAAATACTGAACTTCTACCTGACTCAAGTTGAGTGCTGAGCTGCTAGCTCTGTAAAGTTACATTTTAAATTGATCATATAGGTATGAGGAAAAATTAGTAGTCAAGAGTAGTGAAGTACAGCATTATTTTCATTTAGTCTGTGAAGCCGGGTTAGTCGGTGCTTGTATGAAGCTGCTAGCTAAATGCCACCATTTAGCCATGATTTTCATTGTTACTTGCAAAGATATAGTAATTAACACATTCTTTTACTGAAGATATAGTGACTTTCAGCAGTTACAGTACTGTATGTGTTTACAAATATTGCAGTAATAACACTGTAAAAAGCACAGTAAGACTGCATGCACTATCAGTTCCTTGCGTATTATTTTGTTTACATGATGCAAAATAACATCTGTAAAGTAAATATATTGTAGAGTTTGGCTCTGTAAGTTTTACTTTCATACAGTTTTAATTCTTGCCTCTATACAACACCTTTATCCATAAAGACATAACTTTTTGTAATACTTAAGCAAATTTCGCATGCAAGGAATATAACAATTTTAGATGAACTGTATGCATACAATGGTGTAAGTGGGCTGTTTGATTTTACAACATTCAATTAAATTTTAGTTTAAGAAACACTTCACTTACTATGTTAAACTGGAAGGAATAGCAACACGACTAAACCGATTTTTCTGTGCTGTTGCTTTTTTGCGTTTGTACTGAACATCTCTTCTGAGAATTGCTTGTATGCATGATTAAAAATATGTAGTATGCCTAATAATTTTGCATATTACCATTTTTTCAATTAAAAATTGAGTGCATCTGTAATTGAAGCAAAATGCGTCTTCAAAAAGTGATTTCTAAAATCTCTGATACTATAGTGTCATTGCATTTTTTTTCTCTTGTACTGTGTACTGAGCATATTGCCATAGCATGCTGTGTATTACTAGATAGAGATAAATTTTTCACATGAAGTACAGTGGATTATGTTATGTTGGAGAATTCCTATGCTGTTTCTGTAGTAATTAATGCCGAAGAATAAAATATTCAAAGCAGTGAATAGAAATAATTTCTAATAATATAAATGCTGTGTTTTCTTCTTGTAAAAGCAGGGACTGTACAGCAATCGGTTAACCGCAAGCAGAGCTGGAAGGGTTCTAAGGAGTCCTTGGTTCCTCAGAGGCACGGCCCTTCTCTGGGAGATGGTGTAGTTTATCGCTCAGAAAGTCCCAGCTCTCAGCCTGATGTAGGAAGGCCGTTATCTGGATCTGGCATTGCAGCATTTGCTCAGGCCCATCCTGGCAATGGACAAAGAGTGAATCCCCCGCCTCTGCCGCAGATACGGAGTGTCACTCCGCCTCCACCTCCTCGAGGACAGACACCCCCTCCAAGGGGAACTACTCCTCCACCTCCTTCCTGGGAAGCAAACTCTCAAACAAAGCGTTACTCTGGAAACATGGAATATGTGATCTCCCGTATTTCTCCAGTGCCACCAGGAGCATGGCAGGATGGTTATCCACCTCCACCTATGAATCCTCCACCTGTAAATTCTTCCACGCAGGGTCAGAGAGGCATGAGCGCTGTCCCTATTGGCAGGCAACCAATAATCATGCAGAGTTCTGCCAACAGCAAATTTAGTTTTCCCTCGGGAAGAGCTGGAATGCAAAATGGCAATTGTCAGGCAGAATTCATAGTTCACCAGAATGTGGTGTCTGGGAACTCTGTCAGTCGCCAGCCACCCCCATACCCCATGAATCCAACTAACAGGCAAAGTCCCACAGCACTACAGATGCAGGCAGGAGGATCTGCTCCTCCTTCAGCATACACCAATGGGAATCTTCCTCAGGCAATGATGGTGCCAAATAGAAACAGCCACAATATGGAACTTTATAATACAAACGTAGCTGGAATACCTGCGTCCTGGTCACAGCCTTCCCCTGTGCAACCGCAGTCATCACCTGGCAATGGGCATGACATGCCTACGTGGCAACCCAACGTTCCCGTGCGGTCAAATTCTTTCAACAACCATCATGGAAATAGGCAGAGTCACTCTAGCAGCTCTCAGCCTTCGGCTACAACAGTAACAGCTATAACACCAGCTCCCATTCAGCAACCAGTAAAAAGTATGCGTGTGTTAAAACCAGAGCTACAGACTGCCTTAGCGCCCACTCACCCTTCCTGGATGCCACAGCCAGTGCAAACCGTTCAGACCATTCCCTTCTCCGAGGGTCCAGCTACAAACATGGCAGTCATGTCTCCTGTTGCAGAGGCTCCAAATTACCAGGGTCCACCACCACCGTACCCAAAACACTTGTTACACCAGAATCCCTCTATCAATCTGTATGAGACAGGACCCAAGCTCAACAAGGAGGAACCACCTATTTTATCCAAGGAGGATGAGAATGAAAAGAATTATGAATGCGTTGATTCAACAGATAAAGAAAAGAAACAAATTACAACATCGCCTGTTCCTGTTAGAAAAAACAAGAAAGATGAAGAAAGAAGAGAGTCTCGCATTCAAAGCTATTCCCCTCAGGCCTTTAAATTCTTCATGGAGCAGCACGTGGAGAATATACTGAAGTCGCATCAGCAACGTTTGCATCGGAAAAAACAACTAGAGAATGAAATGATGCGGGTAAACTCTTTCTTCTTCCTAAATCTATGACTAGAGAACTGTTCCCGTATTAATTTTAAGAAATATATCTTAATTGTAGAATGTTTAAATAGTAAAGATGAATAGAACATTGTGGTATATCACGGTATTGAAGTATGCTTTTAGTTTTTGTGTTCGAGATGTGGCAAATTCTTCATTTCTTTGTTTATGTACTCCATTGTCGTCTTAGAAATTAGGGTTTTTTAAGTAAGATTTTTGCATGTCTATGTGTAGCTCATCTGGTTCGTGTATGATAAGGCAGCAGAAGCAAAATCATTGTAGCGTGAACTGAGATTTAGCTACATGGCTCATAGCTTTTTGTTATGGGTTCTATTTAGTCCTGATTTTTGAGTGAGTTTTGCAATATTTTGGTGATTTTAACTTTTTTTAAATAAACACTGCAGGTGCAAGTAGCAAAGCAGGGACAAGTGGTAGGCTGGTTAGTGCGTTTATATAGTCATCTAATGATGCCTTTTATGTTCTGCAGTTTGTTTCTAGTAGCGATAGGGTTTTTTAAGTTCAAATACAAAAAAATCAGTATTTAAAAGTTACATTTTTAGAATGAAAGAGACATGGTACCTTTTGCCGAAGTATTTTATAATCCAGGCTGCAAGGGTATCTGTTTAAACAAGGGGTAATTGAATAGGATAATAAAAAACAGATGTCAAGAAAAACATGTACAATCAACTTCTTTGTGCCGACATGAATCAGTGGTCTATTTCTGGTATGTCAGTGTTCTACTAAATGAAATCAAAAGGGTAAAAACGGGGGCTGACGTATACATATGTAATTTCAAAAGAGAAAATAGTGAGAAGTAGTGAAATCAAGATTTGCAGAAATGGAAATTCAAGATGTATTACCTATATATATTTAACAATTGTAGTTGAAAATTTGACATAAGTATGATGTACCTTTTAATTTATTCTATGAAAGAATGTATCTGAGTTATGCCACTTTCTTGAAGTGCTGTTTTTTAAATCCATGTTTTCTTACTCTTTGAAAATTCTTGCTGTAAGTTGTAGTGTTTTATAAGTGTTTGCTTAATCATGAATATGTAAATGTTAGCAAGATTTCTTCCTGGAGCTCTTTCTAGATCTTCATTCTTAGTCTTCTCTCTTTCCTTTTCACTTCCACTAACAGCTGATTTAAACTGTTAAGGTGTGGGAAGCTTTCCTGAACTCTGTAGCCTCCATCCCTGTGTAGACAAGTAAGATTTTGGAGCAACAGTATTTATTAAGAATAGCATGATCCCTTTTTAGAAGGCTTTGCATGCAATCCTGCATCAAAATTAAGCATGAATTTATTTTACTATTTTTGAGTACTGAAATGTAAGATATAATTAATGTTGATTTGCAAACTTCACTTTCCCTTCTTACTGTGTTGTGTTCCATAGTAAGCATAAGTATTACGTATCTGAAAGCACTGATATAACTTCTTGATATTTTTCTTGTGCATTTAAAGCATCCTAGTAAATATCTTTTCTTACATGAAATGCAGATGTTTAATTACAGGCTGAGGGGTGGAAAACGGGGTATTATGTTGCAGCAGACCTCTCCTTTTTCATCAGGGTGTAAGAGAGGAATCTCACAATAGCGAAGTATATTTTGGGCCTTAAGGAGAAAGGGAAACTAGCTCATTACTTATTTTCAGAAAGTTTAAGAGGATTAAACAAGTACTGAATCCCTTCTTTTCTCTGCTTTGGTAGGAATTTTGAAAGAAAAAAATACCAGAATGCATCCCTACAGAAATACTTACCTTCACAGGATGCTGTATTTCTAGCATAGGTGACATATTTCTATGCTATCAGGTTTCCTAGGGAATAGAGTGGAGCTGTCTCTCAAAAATATTTAATTCAGATGTGTGAATTTGCCCAAGAATTATGCTAGATGTCTTTGCCACAAAGAGAAACTTAAGTCGTCATTTAAAGCAAAGCAAGATGAGAGCAAATTGTGTGACATCGTACAGCAATTCGGGAAGCTCTTGTGTCTGGCATTGACTAGAACTAATTGGAGGTGTATGTCCATGAGCGTTTGTGCAGCCGACAAAGTTGGTTAATTTTTGGTAAATGCTGTAGCTGAGGAGAGTTCTAAGGAAAATAAGAGCAATGCAGAGAGCGATCAGTTTGTGATGAATGTTTGTTTTAGTGGGTGGCATAGGAAAAAGTGAAGATGGGTTGGGGGAAGAGGTGATAAAATGGGGTACTTGAGCTATTTTTTACAACAAAATTGTTAGGATGCAACAGCTAGGGAGCAGGTACTAGAAGGTAAAGCTACAAGGTTTTTGGAGACTCTGTATGTATTGCAGTGATCAATTACTGTATTGGGTCTCACTCCTTCTAGGGTCTTGTTGCCATCTAGATTATAGTCTACCAGTTTTCTAACTGATCCGTGGGGTTCACTGTGTGTGCAAATGGGGCTGTACTGAAGCAGACTTCATGGTTCAGATGGAACTTGAGAAGGTGACCCACTGTTGTCTGAACTTTAACAGGGTCAGGTCTTCAAATTTCTTCTTGACATTTGTAAGTGTTCAAAAATCCCTCTGTCTGCATTGAAGTGTGCCTTCAGCATGTTCATTCACAGAAAACTTGAGATGTTTCTGTCCTGGAAGACAGTGCTAGGATATCCCTACAGTAATGTGTTGAGAAAGACAATTTCTTGATTCGGAGTAGGGAGTTGAACCTGTTTCCCACATCCAGTCTTGAAACTACTGCTACCCAGTCCGAAATACTGCCTGTCTGATGTCAACAGAAAAATTTGTCTCAAATTTGAGACAGCCTTCCCCATTAAAATCTTACTGAATTGATCTTCCTTGTGAAGTTTGTTTGGGTAGACAAGCGTTTTGTATGCATTTTCCTAACTGCATCTCCTTTGGATCCATTTTTGTTATGATGTCTGTAAGAAATCTTCTGTGTTCTAACAGTATTTAAAGCATTTTTAAGATACTGAATGATATCCAATTAATCTTTTATCTCACCTTTTTTCTCAGTCACATCTATTATAAGTTGTTTCAAGTTATGTTGTAAGTTAGGCAAAGTAGAAGTCACCTATTAACATGCAGTTTATACAGGTCTAGAGTAGTGTTTACCTAATCCTGATGATGGTCCTGAGTACTGTTATGCAGACAGTATCTTAAACATCTGAAACATTAAAGAGATGGAAGCAGCAAGATTTGGTATCGAGAATCAATAAGATGTGACAATAAAATTGAAAACTTCTAGAATAGTGCTTGAGTAACAGTTGTGATGTTTGCAGGGATTCAATTTGGCCATGTTCAATTTTATGATCAGAATGTCCAGGAAAAAATAAGGAAATATACTGTAGGTGGAACTTGGAAATCATTGCTGTAGGATGGTGATTTCAAGCCAGGTAGGTAGATAAAATAATTGAGATGTTATGAAAAAGGGAACATACAAGATTTTGAAAATGCTGATAGAGAACAAAAGGAGGAGTGATCATAAAGCTGTGTGGGGATAGTGTCGCAGAGAAAAATGTATAAAAAATTGAAGAAAGATTCTGCTCACATTAAAGCCAAAAAGAAGGGATATTCTCATTCCAGAGCACTGAAAGATGGCAGGGGAATTGAATGGCACTTTAACAGAATTGAAGCCAGCAAAATATGCTAGGAGGAACCCAAATTGGAATACAAGAAGAATGCTTAGTGTGGTTCTTGTAGATAAGAGTTTCCACGCTGTAGGTGATGAGTTACGTGTGGCCTGTGAGTGTTTCAGCTGCCAGAATGTTAGTGGTGTTGGCCAGAACGCCAGGGATGTTCATTCAAGATAGGGATATGTACACAGAAGGCCAGGAACTGATACCATGGGGAGGAGTGAGCCACTTGAAAGAAATTGCTGTGCTCAGCTTGTTGGTATGTAGAGCGGAGAGCAGTAGAGAGAGCGTGACTGAAGTCTTGTTAGAAAGAGGTGGGTTATGTGGTAAGAAGGAAGATCAGGTCTTGGCTTGTGGCAGAGGCACATGCTTGGTGTGGGTGGACGGTAGGAAACGGTGCCATGCGGATCTGGTTTGTGTAGGTACACAGGGAAGCATGAGAGGGGGAGTCGCATACTCCCTCCTGCAACTGAAATTCCACTGGCATGGTCAGGAAGTTTAGTGACTTCTGGTCTAGCTAGTCTGGAGAGTGGAAGCCTTTCCCACTGCAGCTCCTTAGTTAGTCCTTAGCAACTTACTGCTCCTAGGCACGTCTTGGCTTCCTTTAGCTCTGCAAAGAGAATCAGGGAGGCAGTTGATGCACACTGTTACTCAGATAAGTATTATTTGCGGTGATGTTTATCAGTAGGTTGTAAATTACCCTTTCTTTCCTTAAGAAAGTACTCCCTTCTCAAGAACCTCCTGGTGCTTTGGCACCTCATGCATTTTGCTGTTGAAAGCGATCGCGTTTTGCTTTGTATCACTCCTATATGTTTTCATAGAATCCTAATGTGTAAATTAAAAAAAAAAAAAAGGAAAACAAAACTCCTTAAAGTATTATTTCTCATGCTGTATACAAGTATTTGGCTTGCTTTGCCTAGGCCTTGTAATTATAAGAAGATCACCAAGAATTAAGAGTACTGTTCACTCTTCAGATTTAATTCTGTTTGCTGCACAGGTTGGATTGTCACCAGAAGCCCGAGATCAAATGAGGAAAATGTTGTGTCAGAAGGAGTCTAATTATATTCGGCTACGAAGAGCTAAAATGGACAAGTCAATGTTTGTAAAAATTAAAACCCTGGGAGTCGGTGCATTTGGAGAAGTTTGCCTAGCAAGAAAAGTGGATACTAATGCTTTATATGCAACAAAAACTCTGAGGAAAAAAGATGTATTGCTTAGAAATCAAGTTGCTCATGTGAAAGCTGAGCGGGATATCCTTGCAGAAGCTGATAATGAATGGGTGGTTCGCCTGTACTATTCATTCCAAGATAAGGACAATTTGTACTTTGTAATGGACTACATTCCAGGAGGTGATATGATGAGTCTCCTAATTAGAATGGGTGTCTTTCCAGAAAATCTGGCGCGGTTCTACACAGCAGAACTGACCTGCGCAGTTGAAAGTGTTCATAAAATGGGCTTCATCCACAGAGATATTAAACCTGATAATATCTTGATAGACCGCGATGGTCATATTAAATTGACTGACTTCGGGCTCTGTACAGGTTTTCGATGGACCCACGATTCAAAATACTACCAGAGTGGTAAGAGAAATATAAAAGGTTTCTTTGTTATTTTGTTGACGTGTCATTCTTTGCAAGGAATTAAATAATAAATGAGTAGAAAGATGATTGTGCTGTTTCCTTTCTGAATAATAACGCATCTGACAATATGTCTGCACATCACTCACACTATAGAAAGCAACGCTTAGTTAGGGAGAGTTTGTAAGCGTGAGCATTGATTCCTTAAGGGAGGAATAAGCTATGCTGCTGTAAGTCTGTCCCATTAGTGGCTTCTGAAATTTGGAGAGAGAAGATCACTGCGGTAGCAAGATAATTACATAGACAGCAGCCCTGACTGTGTTTTGAAGATGGGATTGATCTTTTAAATTTCATTGTTCTTGAAAACCTTGCGCCAAGTTCTGAGTGTCTTGGGTGCTTTCTTTTAGTGTAACCTATTGATTTCTGAGAAAGGTTTAAGTAAGCTTTTAAAAACCCTACTTGATTACTTTAAAAAAAAAAAAAAAAAAAAGCTGGTGCAAAAAAATTGCACAGTTCTGAGCGTGATAAAATACAGGTGTTGTAATAACCTGGTTTTAATTTCCAAAAGAACATACCTTCAAAGACAATTTTTTAATTACTTTTGACTTGTTTTTATCAAAACATCATGTATATTAGGCCAGACTGTTATACTGTCTCTGGAGAGAAGCTGAAGATTTAAAATCTGGTTTTATTTTTTGATGGTTTAAATGTTGGGGGTTTTCTGGTTGCATAGCAACAAAACCAATATACACCCTGTACCCCCAATGTGGTTATGTTACAGAAAAACTGAGAAAAGATCAAGCTCAATAATTTCTCATAATTATGTCAAAAGTTAACTTAAAAGTCCTCAAAAGTTGGTATTTTACATCATAAGCAAAAAGTCAAAATTCTGGTGGTGATGACTTTTTTTAGCTCTCAAATTGAGTGTTGAAATTGAAACAGATTCTGTGTTAGAACAAGAAATGTTAACAGATAAAAGAAATTTCTTACTCGTTAAGAACTAGAGTAATCTTCCTAAATTTTGGCATCTTTCTCACTCAATTATAGGTGATCATGCACGTCAAGACAGTATGGATTTCAGCAATGAATGGGGTGACCCAGCAAATTGCAGGTGTGGAGATCGGCTGAAGCCACTTGAACGTAGGGCTGCACGTCAGCATCAGCGCTGTCTGGCCCATTCCCTTGTTGGCACACCCAATTATATTGCGCCAGAAGTATTGTTGCGAACAGGTAATGCATTTTCGTACTGTAATCTCACTGCAAAGTAATTGATATTCAGGTAGCTCGCTTCACCTTTCTTACACTGCCACTTTTCCCAAGTATGTAATATTTTGAGAAAAAAATAAATAGTTGTTAATACGGAAATCTTAAACAAGTATTGAATAGAATTTGCTTGTGAACCTTTTTTATTCTTAGAAATACAAGATTAAAATTACACTAAGGCTTTGACTACCTTGTTTTGACTTCATTTCAGGTTACACACAGTTGTGTGACTGGTGGAGTGTTGGAGTAATTCTCTTTGAAATGTTAGTGGGGCAGCCTCCATTCCTGGCACAAACACCGCTGGAAACACAAATGAAGGTAACTTTAAAAGTCTGGTATTGACAGTCTGAAAAAGCAGGCTTGAAATTTACAGAGCCTTTCTAATTTGTAATGGAATCAAAAGTAATTTTTGAGAGTGCTGCTCTATCCAAGCATGCTATAAACTAACAAGTTTTTAAACTTTACTGTGGCAGTGCACTTAATATGTAAAGGGACGTGAAGGATCATATTCATATCTTTTTATCTGGTCATATAGTAAACACGCCAACTAAAAATCACATTTCAGATTTCTACTTTTTTTTCTTCTCCTCTTCCAGCCTCTGGGTGTTTTTTTCCCCACCAGGCTTCCATGCCCGCTCACCTGCAGAGGATTTCTTTTGGTGATGTATCTGCAGACATGCAGTGTGCAAAGGTGGAGGAGCAGCAGGTGACCGTGGCTGCTCAGGGCTACTGGCGGCTCAGAGCTGTTGGTCCCTTCCTTCCTGAGCCCCGGCTGCTTCAGAGAAACCACCAGGGCAAGCTTCTGCAGGTGCCGTCTTTGCAAAGCTGCATTCAGCTTGCAGGATACTAGTTGGCTCAAATGTAGTGCAGCATTGATTAGTTTTAACTTTAAATGTGTTCATCTTTCCAGTGCATCGGATAAATCCAAATTGGTTTGTCTCACCTTCCTTTTAAGATTGTGAGCCATGTGCCTCATATCAGGTTCCAGATGCTGGATTGTATGGTATCTTTGTTGGTTTATAGCAGGGGCACTGTGTGCCAGACTCTAGTTTAGATTTGGGATGCGAACAAACTTTATCTGGATTTTGCCAGTTTTCCAGACAAAACATGCCTGTGTTTCTGAAAGAGCAGCTTCACGTTTTCCCCTCTCTACTGTAAAAACACACATGTTGAATGATTGCTTTGTGGCTTTTTGGGTTTTTTGTTTTGTTTGTTGTTTTAATTTTCACTGTGTTTTTTCCTTTTTTATGAAATTGTAAATGGAATAACACCTCTTTTTGCTTTAAAGGTTATCAACTGGCAAACTGCACTTCATATTCCACCTCAAGCTAAATTGACTCCAGAGGCCTCTGACCTTATTATTAAACTCTGCCGAGGGCCAGAAGATCGTTTAGGCAAAAACGGTGCAGATGAAATAAAAGCTCATCCCTTTTTTAAGACAATTGATTTTTCAAGCGATCTGCGGCGGCAGTCTGCTTTCTACATTCCCAAAATTGCTCATCCTACGGATACATCGAACTTTGATCCAGTTGATCCAGATAAATTGTGGAGTGATGATGATAAGGAAGGGAACAGAAACGATACACTTAATGGGTGGTACAAAAATGGAAAACATCCTGAACATGCTTTTTATGAGTTCACCTTCCGAAGGTTTTTTGATGATAATGGCTACCCATACAACAATCCAAAGCCCATTGAGTATGAGTATGGTAGTTCTCAAAACTCAGAACAGCAGTCGGATGATGATGATGATGATGATGAACAGGCAGGTAGAGGAGTTCAAAATCGTGACCTGGTTTATGTTTAGTAGAGGAATAAAGATCAAAAACTAAATAAACTTATTTTGTAGCTGCAATATTTGAAAAGTCTCTTCTCTTAAGAGAATTGAGAGAAGATTGCTAGGGTAAATACATGCATGCTTTTTGTTTTTTAAAAAAAAAACACTAAGAAAACTG